ATAATAATAATAATAATAATACTAATAATAATAGTAATAATAATAATAATAATATTAGTACTAATAATCATAATAATACTAATGCTAATACTATTAATACTAATAATAATAAAAAGAAGAAGAAGAGGAAGCGGAGGAGGAGAGGTGGAGGAGGAGGAGAGAAGGAATAGGAGGAAGGAGGAGCAGGAGGAGGGCGAGCAAAATTGCCAGAGGTCTCTTGGATGCCTCTAGGAGCCTCTTGGGATATCTCTTGGGCGCTTCTTGGTGGCCTCTTGGGACGTCTTGGGGGTCTCTTCTCCGTCCTGGGGGGCTCTTGGGCGTCTTGGGTGCCTCGGGGGGGCCTCTTGGGGCCGCTCGGGGTTCTCTTGGGGGCCTCCTGGGGCCTTTTGGGGGGTCTCTTGGGGCCATCTTGGGGCCATCCTGGGGCCTCTTGGGGCCTCCAGGGCCCTCTTGAGGCCCTCTTGGAGCGCTCTTTGGAGCTTTCGAGGCGCTCTTGGGGCCATCTTGGAGGACATCGATCAAAGAAGGGGATGGTCGCAATTCGCGTTGCCCCTCGGGAGCCCCCAACATCGCCTCTTAGAGCGCAATTGGAGCGCTCTTGGGGACGTCTTGGGGCTCTCTTGGGCCTCTCTTGGGGTCCTCTTGGGCCATCTTGGAGCCATCTTGAGGCCTCGGAAGGGTATCGAGAGCGAACGGGTGACGATGCACAAATCATTGGTCTTCCTTAGGTTTTTGAAGGATTTTGCCTTCTTGGAGGCCTCCTTGGATGTCTCGGAGGCTTCTTGGAGCCGGCTTGCGGCGGTCTTGGGGCCTTTCGGAGCATCTTCGGAGCCATCTCGAGACATCCTCGGCTATCTTGAGGCATCGTGGAGGTCATCTTGGGCTCTCCGAGGCGCTCTTGGTGCCGTCTTAGGCGAAAAAGTACGGCTTGACACCTCGCCGCCACCCCCGTCCAGGTCCAGGGGAGGGGGTAGGGGGGAGGGATGCACGCCTCCCCGAAGGGGAAGAAGGGGGTTGGAGGAAACTCCCTAAACCACCTACGCCCATAGGGCTGGTGGGATTTTTGCCTGCGGCATTCTTCTGTCCCCCCGCGAGCTTGTGCCGCCGCCGCTGCTCTTGGAAAAGTGCAACGCTTTCTGGATCCGACTGTCGCCTGACGGCCTGCTCTCGGCGAGGTTGTTTGCTGATGGTTCGGCTTAGCATTCCTCTGACCCTCTTTTGAGCTGGGCGGGGTGGGCGGTGGTGGACGACGCGGGGACCATGATCGGTGTCGCCTTCGGAGCTATTCCTTGGGATTCCGCCCCGGCCCAAGAGGCCAAAGACGGCGAATCTTACGCCTTTCTGTTGTTGTAGCAGATGGCCATGGGGATGGAGGGCATCTGGATGAACTGCGCCGCGTGTCGGCGCGGTCTCGCCCAGAGGGCCACGTCTGCCGGGCAGCCCCCAGGCCCACATTTGGACTCAGGTGCGTGCAGTTTTTGCGGAAGGCAATCCAGTGCATCAGACGCGCGCGCACACTAGCGAAGGGGATGTGGTTCGGGGGAGGACCACCGCGTGGGAGAGAGAAGCGAACGCTGTCGCCGACGCTCGGATCAAGCGAGGTGCTGGCCCCCGCCCGTGTGTCAAGTCTGCTGCCTCTGCCCTTGCTGGCCTTTATGCGCTGGGTCGGGAGGCGTGCCAGTGGGAGGGGCGCCAGGGTGTTCTGATGCAGGAGGGGGGCTGGAGTCATCTGAAGGTCTGCCCGAGGCCAACCTCCGCGGGGGGCCACGGTCGGGTACTAGGTCCCTTAGGCCACGCGTGGCCCCGTCTTCGTCGGTTCGGTTCAGGGCAGTCCTATCTGATGTCCTCCAGGGCCCCCCGCCCTAGGAACCCGAGCTGGCGACGCTTGCTATGCTGATGGGTCGCTGTGTCAGGGTGGCCACGGTGCTTGCCGCGGAAGGGGCGCCGGTGCTGGCTGGCCCTCGCCTCCTCTGTTGCGTGAACACCGTGCGGTGCTTTTGCTCGGGGGGGGGGGGGCGGTCAGGGAGAGTTGGCGCAGGCCTGCCGCCTCGCAGCCGCAGGCCTTGGGCTCGGGCAGCAGAACTCACCACCCACCAAACCATCCCACCCCAACCCGAAGGCCCCAGTTCGCCCCCCATTTTCAGTGTGGGGGGGGTCGGGGAACACGGGAAAAACACGTATGAAGCCCGTACCCCCCCCAACCCGAAATTCGGATCTTCGGGTTGGGTTGGGGTGGTCTGGTAGGAGTCAAGAACCTAGCCAGGCGGTTCCCCAGGTGGCTCTCTAAGTATGACGGCCAGAGCTCCGGTGAGCGCGAGGCCACCTCCCCATCCGATCTCATCTCCCTTGCCGCCAACGGTTTGCCCTCACGCTTGAGGCCCCTCGGCCAAGCTGTGAGGCCAGTGTTCCGTGTCGGCCCGCCTTGGTCGTCCAGCTGGACCAAGGGCAGGCCCCTCGCGAGGTTCAGCCTCTCGGCCGATTCCCCCGTGCAGTGGGAGTC